CGTGACATCCCAGACCTGCCCCCGCCCCGGGCTGGCGGGAGGCCTCACCGTTGAGCCAGCGGGAGTTGTGCTGGTCCGTGCGCATGGCCGTCTGCTTGCCGAGGGTGCGGAAGATGGCCGCGTCCGTGCCCATGAAGTCGATGTACACGCCCGCGTAGAGCTCCTCGTCTGTGGGCGGGAGGGTCGTCAGGGGCCGCCCTTTGCCAGGACCCGGGCGATGTCAGGAGCCCACGTGACCTGCAGGGCAGGCCTGTCTCCCTGGGCTGCCCAGGGCCCTGGTGAGTGGGTGCCTGGCAATGCCGGTCGGGCCCTGGGAGACGGGGCTTCAGCTGCAACGAGCTCTGATCAGAGCCAGAGCCCGTTTCTGGGGGAGAAGCTGCCAGCCCGGGGGAGGCCCACACCGCTCACAGCATTTCCACCCACAGGTGGGCACAGGCCAGCACCCTCAGGAGCAGGAGAACAGTGAACTGTAAGGTATCAGGAAGCAACGAGCTTCGAGTGCATGTACCTTTTAAAAAGTAACTGAGTTAATTGTAACTTCATATAATTTAACTTTTAACAACAGCTCCGCCCCAGAGATGCTGACATCGGGCTCACAAAAAACACCTGGAGGCTTTACCCAGCCGGCCCCCAGTCTCGCCTCCAGCCTCGGGGCAGGCCCTGTCCCCGCAGCCTCTACCGTCCGGCTAGGACCTTCTCACTCGCCACGATGGGAGGAAAATGCCCATCCCCTGCCCCAGGGCCTGGCACAGCGGAGGTGGCACGGTGCCCAGCAGCTGCTCCGAGAGGCAGACTGGGGTGGGCAGCCAGAGGACAGGCACCGTGCAGGGACCAGGGTCAGCGGGGGGCTCTGGGCAGGGCAGCAGCTGCTCCTGAGGCCCAGACAGGACCCCTCCTCAGAGAACATTCCCCCAACGCCCCCAGACACCTGGCTAGACCAAAACACTCCCCCAGCGGGTCACGGGGCCAGGAATCCCCATGGGTGCCCCCCGTCGGCCTCTCCCAGCCTCCCAGGCAAACCAAGGACATGCGATGGGATTATGGACCACCCCTACCCGCCCTTATACCCCCCATATCGACTCAGCCTGTCCGTCCCCTCCTCCAGGCAGCCCTCGGCCACACTGGATTGCAGGGTGGGATCTGGCCCCTCCATACCATCTGCCCAGTCTCTGTCCCTCAGCTCACTCACACTGGGGTCTGTCTGTAGCCCTCTCCCCACCAGGTGGGGCCCACTGCGGGGTTCAGGGCCAGCATGTCCCCTGGGGTAAGCAGAGGCCACACTTTCGGGCTGTAGGACAGGGTGGGGCGGGCACTCACTGATGAGGGCTGAGGCTGTGTCCAGCTTGGGGTCGTATGGACACTTGCCCTTCCCTGACTCGAGTCTCTCGGGCTCCAGGTAGAAGATGTAATCCTGCAGGGCAGAGGGCGGCTCAGCATCCCAGGCCGGCCCCACGGCCGAAAGGAAGGGCAAGGTCAACAGCCCAGGGTTACCCTGAAGCCACCGCCCTTCACTCCCCAGATCCTGGGGTTTGAACTCCGTCCAGCCAGGCGGCCCAGGGCAGGGCCACACTGCAGGTTCCCAGGGAGGCGCTGCCCGGGCCCAGGTCTGAGCGCTCTGCTTTGGGGGCCATGAGAAGGGCACGGGGGGAGCTCACAGGGCTGAAGCCCCTCCACGCCCACTGGGTCAGGAAGACTGAGCTGTGGCTGTCTGCCCTGGGCCCAGGAGGACAGCCGCCTGGTCAGGGCAGGGGCACCGGCCAAAGGTCCTGTCCTTTGCCATCAGGTCCCACCAGGTCAGAGGGCTCCGAGGTCACCGTGCCCCAGGCTTTGTGCCGCACCCGTGGTCCTCAGCACCGACTGATAGGCCTCGGCCTTCTGCCTGCCCCGCCCCCAGGGCCTCCAGGTCTCCCCAGGGAGCCAGGCATGGAAGGGTCCCGCCCAAACCACATGGAATTCACAGAGCCTCCCGCCCTGCCCCGCAGATGCCAGGAGGGAGGCTGGTGAAGGCACGGGACTGGGAGGAGCTCCTGGGAGGAGGAGGGAGAGGAGGCGCAGAGGCAGGGGGTGCAGCGGGTGGCGGGGGAGGTGATGGGAGGTGTGCACAGGCCCGTCTCCAGTTTCACTCTGCACACGCGACATCCAGCACACATGGGGCTGCACACACAGCTGGGCACGCTCACTGCAGCTGCACACACGGCTGGGCACGCTCACTGCAGCTGCACACACGGCTGGGCACGCTCACTGCAGCTGCACACACGGCTGGGCACGCTCACTGAGGCACACGGCACTGTTCACACGCTGGCGCACACGCAGTCTGACGGTCCCCATTCTCAGTACTGTCCGCCACAGACACACGTGTTCGCGACCATCTGCTCTCATTCACCGGCAGCCCCTGGCCCCCTGCCCGCCCCTGCCCAGCCCCAGCCCCCAGCCCCAGCCCCGTCCCAGGTCAGGATCAGTGACAGACAGCTCTGCCCCTCCCGCCCCTGTGCCGACCGGGGACCCACGGAGGCCCGGGGCACGGACCCCTGAGAGAGATGCCGGACTGCACACATGTGCCATGTTCTCACTTGGGTGCTGAGCAAGGTGTGGGCTTGAGAGCAAATGTGTGCCCACATGTATGTTGGCATGTGCTCATGCATGTCTACACACATGTATCCTGAGGGCTCAGGCATGACTGTCCCCAGGCTCCCGTCTTCCCCACCTGGTGGCTTCATGATTTCTCGCCTGCGGGGTGCACACAAGCGGACATGAATCCCGCTGGGGCCTTCAGAGCCACTGCAGGGGAGGGGCTGGGAGGGGCACAGAGGTAGGGCACCCTGGCCTGGGCACAGGGTCCTGGCAGGAAGGCCGGGCCCAGGAGGAGCTCAGTTCAGAGGCAGGGCTGCCTGGCGTGGGCCTGGAGGGATGAGCCCACCTGGCGTGGGGCTGTGGGCGTCGGGCGGAGGGCACCGTCCGTGGCTCTGCTGCCTCGGCCTCTGACCACCTGCATCTGGGTCCAGGGCGTGGCCTGAGGAGACGAGGAACAGGGGTTAGAGCCGGGGGTGGCAGGGGCTGGGGGAGCGGGCTCGGGCTGCCAGCCTCTCACACCACACACGCCAGGAACACACGTGAGCACCTGGGCCCCCAGAGTACATAGATGCGCCTGTGCGTGCACACATACACACAACTTGGCGCACACCTGCACACACGTGCCCCTAGGTCCAGACACTCTTACATACGCTCTACGAGGTCACGCCAGCCACACACGTGCCCACATGGAAATGGAAAAGGGCAGAAGCGGGCAGGGTGGGCAGAGCTGGGGAAGGGGCAGCTCCCCCCGACCCCCCATCCCCGGCTGAGTGGCAGGAGCTGGCCCAGGCGTCCAGCCTCCTGACGCTGAGGCCCCGCCAGGGCCCTGGCTGGGCTGCGGGCACCATCCACAGGCACAGCCCAGGGAACCGCTGCCACATGTGGAGCGGGTGCCTGCCACGTGCCAGGCACGTGCTAAGAGCTTTGGGAGTTAGCTCACTGCCTCCTCCTCACACCGACCTATGAGAAAGGCACTATGAGCCCATTTTCAGGCGAGGAAACTGAGGCTGAGGGGCGAAAGAGGTCACTCACCCAGGGTCACAGGGGTTCACACCCCTCCTCCCATCAGAACCCTGGATGGAGCCTCCGATGGGAGCAGCTCGGGGGGGGGCGGCGGGGGAGGCAGGCTTACCTGAGCCCGGCGGCCACGGTTTACATAGGTGCACATGGGGTTGTAGGCGCCAGTCCCACACACGTACAGGTGTGTTCGGTTCCAGGGCTGGATGAGCCTGACGAAGTTCCCGCACTCACCCTGGGGCCAGACGGAAAGCAG